ATATAATATAATATATATTTACATTTTCACATTAAAAAAATCTAATAAAATATGTAAACAAAGTTATAAACATGTTTGTATAAAAAAAATTTACTATTTTTAATACAAAGAATAAGTTAATTGTATACGTAATACAGGAAACATTTTTAGATGTGATCGTGTAACATGTTTTCGATAAAACAAATACGCGTCTGCATAACATTAAAATCATAAATCATATACGCGTCTGTGTAATATTTAAAAAATATATATTTAAAATAAGAGCAAGAAAAATAAGTGTTTTTCTGTTTTTTTATAATTTTACACTATAAATTTTGTAATAATCAATAAAAGTTATTTCATTTTTACTTAGAAAATTTTTTAAAAATATTTTTTTGACAAATTTTACAGTAAATTTTAAAAATAAAAATTCCGCGTATTGGTGGCGTTACAAAAAACATGAATAAATCCATAAATATCTATTCAATTATGAAAAAAATTTATATGTAAGTAGATTCGAACCTGCTGAACAACTTTACTTAAGAAGGTTTTGGATGTTTCCTTTGACTAAAGTGCCTAAATTACGCTCTGAAGTCACAGAACAGATATACGAAATATTAATAAGAAACATTTATAAGTTGTAATATTACAAAAAAATAATAATAGCTTTATCCATACATTATTTCAAAAATTTTTGTTTTTTTAGTTTTTTTTATATACATACTAGTATTCACCTGTTAACTACGTTAACAGTTAGAGGTAAATCTGCTTACAGTCTGTATAACAATTCTCTATATTTATAGTAATATGCACTTTTCAATCTTATTACTTAAAAATTCTTAAAAAAAAAAAAATATTTTTTATTTATTTCTTTGAGTTTTGCTAAAGATCACCAGTAGTGATTTTCACTAATAGTGAATTTTCACTATATGTAAATTTTATTGGTTAATTTTTTGCATTGTGACACAATTTTTATTTTTTAGTGACTTTGAACTATTTTTATTATGCTCTTTTATTTTTTTGCCTAAGAACACAAAGATCAATAAAAAACGCAAAAATTGAGGATAAGATCAAAGGTAATCACATCCCAAAGATAAAGAACACAAAGATCAATAAAAATGCAAAAATCAAAGATCAGATCAGAAATGTTAGTAGTGTTCTCAAATCGAAAAAAAAAACCAAAAAAGAAACAAAAAAACAAATGCAAATACTCACTTTAAAGCCAAAATCTGGAGTCCAAGTCCATCCCTAAAGAAAAAGAAAGAAAAGGAACATTAGTAGTGTTCCAAATCAAAAAAGAAAAAGAAACAACAAATAACACAAATACTCACTCCAAAACTGAAATCTTGAGTCCAGTAATATCCAAGTTCATTTCTAAAGAAAAAGAAAGGAAAAGGAACGTTAGTAGCGTTTCTAAATCAAAAAAACAAAAACAAACAAAAAACAATTGCAAATACTCGCCCAAAGCTGAAATCTGGTGTCCGGTAATATCCAAGTCCATTTCTAAAGAAAAAGAAAGGAAAATGAACGTTAGTAGTATTCCTAAAAAAAAAAAAAAAAAATAAATAAAAAATAACGTGAATACTTACTTTAAGCCAAAAGCTGAAGTCCAAGTTCGTCTCTAAAGAAAAAAAAACAAAAGTTGCGCCATACAAAATCATAGCGTGATGCAAGCTTTTTAAATTTTAAATTTATATAATTTATATATATGGTGTCGATCACCACTGGTGATCTTTCATAGTAAACCTTCGGTACTTTCTTACAGAACAACGCTACGGGATTCTTTTTTTTTTGTAGGTCAGTTTGGTAGGTTCGTTCAGTGTTCTTTTCGCTCTGAGATTCTTTTTTTTTTTGTAGGTCGGTGTTCAGCATTCTTCTATAGAATTTTCTTTTTTGTAGGTCAGTTCGGTATTCTCTTTCTTGTAGAATGACGCTCCAGGATTCTCTTTCTTGTAGGACGACGCCTTCAGGATTTTTCTCTTTTTTTGTAGGTCAGTATTCGATATTCTTCTATTGGGTTCGTAGGTTAAGTCATTTTCTCTTTCTTTTAATTTCCCTTTCGTTAGAGGATTCTAACCTCTTTTATTTTTTTTTTCTTTAGATCGGTCCTCTTTTCAGCATCGGATTTCAGGTAGATCTATAAAGCCCTCTTTCTTTCGTTTTCCTTTAGTTAGAGGTTGCTAACCTCTTTCATTTTTTTTTTTCTTTAGATTGGTCCTCTTTTCAGCATCAGATTCCGGGTAGGTCTATAAAGCCCTCTTTTTTTTGTTTCCTTTAGTTAGAGGTTGCTAACCTCTTTCATTTTTTTTTTCTTTAGGTTGGTCCTCTTTTTAACGCTAGATTCCAGGTAAGTCTTTCTTTGTTTTCGTTTGTTCCGTTTTGTTTTGTTTTGTTTCATTTTTCATACGTTTTAACCTTTACTCTCTCCATTTAGGTCTTAGCTCTTTAGCTCTAAGGTGCATCTTGTTTTCTTTTTTGTTTGTTTTGTTTCATTTTTTGTTCGTTCTAACCTCTACCCTCTCTATTTAGATCTCAGTTCTTTCGGCTCTTTGACCCTAAGGTGCATGTTTTTTTGTTTTTTATTTCATTTTATTTGTGTTGCTTGTATTGTTTCATTTTTCATTCATTCTAACTTCTACTCTCTTTCCATTTTGTTGAAAAAAGGGAAAGGAAAAAAAACAAAAGTAAGAAAAATAAAAAAAAAAATAAAAAAATTAAACGCGTAACATTTTTATTAAGATCAATGCTATTGCATCATGTGTGTCCCGCACTGCGGTTGCACAATTTGTAAATAGTTATTTATGTGAGTAGTCTAAACATAACGCCCACGTGATTGCAGTATTTTTTAAATATTAGATTTTATATAAAAAATTATATATAAATATATACATGTCATAAAATAAGTTGCTTAGCAGTGTAAAAAATTTATGGATTAGATAAAAGTTTGCTTAGCAGACATGAAAAATATCTGCTTATTGACCTTAGTAAATTTTGAATTTTTTATCTGACCTATATATATATTGTTTAGGGTCCTGACATACAACACCAAAAAAGTTCAAAGAATTTATAGAACAAACTCTTTTACCTGAAACTGAAATTACTAAACAAAAAACTATTTCTGATTCTACTACAAAATGGTGGTTAAATGTATTAGGTTTTTTTCATCAATAACAAAGGCAAGGAGTATATTATGATGGACACGAAAGAGAAGATATAGTGAAATACCGAAAAATATTTCTAGAAGAAATGGATAAATATGAACCATATATGGCAAGTTATGAAAGAGAAACAATGGATAAAATCTTGCCAAATCTTCAAAATAGTGAAAAAGAACATATTTTGGTAACACATGATAAGTGCATTTTTTATTCTAATGATGGCAAGCGTGAAGTATGAGCAAAAATAGGTGAATTGCCATTATGAAAAAAAGGGAATGGTCGATCAATTATGGTAAGTGAATTTTTAACAGAAGTATGTGGACGGCTTAAACTAAATGCTCAAACAATTGAAAATTACCCTAATATTCCACAAGAAGCTTGCGTTTATTAGGATTACTTTTTAGCAAATACTGCAAGGATTGAGTTTCAAAATTCTGGTGGGAATAGTTGAAATATTTATGTGCCAGTGTGTGTTATAGTGATCAGGCTGTTCTGATAAATTATATTGTTATTTATTTATTTACTAATACACTTTTATTCTTCCAGACATCCCAAAGCATATTTACAATATTAAGTAACTAATCTTTTGATTTTAAAAATAATTTAATGCAAGTACTTCGAGTTGGAAAGGCTCAGAAGTATCTGTTTGAATTTTAGAAGTACTGGTCGAAGGTTTACTGACAATAGTGATGAATTGTAGGGAGAAATAAAATGAAATAATAATAATATCTCTCATCCACTTTCTACTATACATTTTCTGGTTTGAATTTAAAGCAAAAAAAGTAATATTAGTTCAAAATCAACACATCTATCCGGTTTTCTATACACTAGAGATCCGCCGTGATTGTAGCAAAACATGAATGTTCCTAGATCTTCGCTAACAATCCAATTTACTGATCATGAATTAAGATTTTACCCTAAATTGTCCTGCATTAGTATGCAGACCTCTAAATGATCAAAAAATATTAGCATACAGATTCCAGAGTAATCATACCAATTGTTCACACAAAAAAAATATTTGGTTGCGTCTCATCAAAACATTGCCTCCTCAGAGGAGAAAATTCTCATCTTGAAAAGATATTTCTTGAGACTGGTAAATTGAATTAGTTAAGTAATCATGTTTACTATTCTCTTTGATTGGGCTAAAAGGTAATACACTAATAAATACAAAAGATGATGACTTTGTTCATAGTACATATTAAGTCTATCCTAGTATTTGCATCTATTCTACCTTCTGCCCACTCTATTTCATAATATTAAAGAGATCCTCAAATCCTGAAATGAAAAGATACTAGTCAGGTATTAATTTACAGCTCTGAAGACGCTTCTTGCAAATGTATAGCAAAGTCTTATCTCCAGTATTTTTTTTTTACCAGCACTTCTTCACATTGCGATATGTTGTGAGTATGCTGGTCCTATTTGCCTGCCTTCTTGCAAACTCAAAACCAGGAAACAAGTAAGATCATTATTCCATTTCAGTTTGATTTATATTTTACTGGCCAAAGATCTGGAAAGAAAAATTTTGCTGGAAGTATTTATCAAATACTTTTGTAATTCTATTCCTTTAAAATCTTTTATGTAAATACCAGAAGTAGAGCTCTGAAACAAGTCGAGTTGACTTACAAGTTAGTCAAGTTGAGTCAAGTCAAATCAAGTTGAAAATTACAATCAAATCGAATTGAGTTAAGTTGAGTTAATAATTTAATAAAATCGAGTCAAGTCGAATTAAGTCAAATTAAACATAATTCCGGCCAAATTTATGGAATTTCCTTTTTGGAAATTATGTTACACAAAATCTGAGATGAAAATTTTTTGAAAATTACAAAAATGGAATTTTGTGAAATGGCGATTGATAACAATAACTATATTGGAGAAAGTTACTATGGAGACTCCAATTCAGAAGAAGAAACTCCCACTACCGCTGCTAAATGTGAATTTCATATTAATCAACAGCCAGTTATTGCAGTAATTGATAGTGGAGCTGCAGTTAGTATTATGACTACTGTAATAATAAAAATAAATATTAAATAATGTTGTATAGCCGAAGAAAATTACATAATTTAATTTGCCTTAACTTGATTCGGTTTGATGGGCCAACTTAACTCGAATCAAGTCAAGTTTATATTTTTTATAATTTTAACTCGACTCGACTTGATTTGATTTAACTTAAGTCGAATCAAGTTTACATATAACTTAACTTGACTTGATTTATTCAGAGCACTATCCAAAAGAGTCTGAGATCTAAATATCCAGATTTTTACTGAAATCTGCTAAAATTTGTCAGACATGTATGAAGATATTTTTGGCCAAAGATTTGGAATATATCAGAGATTTTGGGTTTTGCCAGAATTTATAATATTATTTTCTCACGTTTAAAAATAAGATCATATGGATCTTTTGCAATAGAAAGAAGGGTAACTGCCAGGAAAAACAAAATTTACATTTATATGCCAAATATGATCTTTATGCTCAAAAATAATATTAACTCAAAAAAAAATTTTCCCAGCCTTTTTTATTGCAAAAAGTCCATATGACAAGTTATGAGATTATAACGTCATACCATACTATTTATGCGTCAGTTTAAACTTTTTTTGGTTATTGTAAGGATGGTTTTGACTCATTTTTTATCATTTTAGTAATTTCAGTATATTCCTAAAAGAAAATTTATTATGCAAATTCCCAAAACAATATGTACTTAAAATGCAAAATTAAAATTCCAAAGTTCTTAAAAAAAGGTTTTTATTTTATTTTTTCAGCTTTCAGAATCATATTGCATTTTCCGTGTTAATATACCAATCACCTACAGAAGTTAAAATGTCCAAAAATTCACCTGTAATAAGTTATTCGCATGAAGAACTTATAAACCTAGAAGATGCACTTGATCTAAATAGTATATCTGAATCCAAAACTCCTGATACTTCAAAACCTGAAGTAAAAAATAATCTCAAAAGCTTCGCTGAAAATCTAGGTCTCAAATTTGCAAAAAAAGAAGATTTAAAGAAATTTTATGGTATATAAAAAATCTGTTCCAGCTTGATTGCATTTTTACTAATGCTAATGTATCCTTGTTTAGATTTCGCTGGCCCTGACTTCATTTGGCCATCTAAAATGAGTGAAAATGATCACCTTGAAATTTTTGAATTCATTGTTGATCCCGAATGGGAAGATATTAGAATAGAGATCGCAATAAATGCTCTTACATATCATCGTCTAGTTGAATCTGGAGCTTTTAAAAATAAGCCAAAAGGATCATATGTGCTAATTGTTCATGGAGAAGTATTAAAGTATTATGAAAAAGATGTATCATCAGAAGACTACGAACAGCTTGAGAAAAAATATCCAGGGAAGTACTTTGCACCTATCACTAGAAAGATTGTTTTATTGCGCAGATTCTAAATGAGTGGCAAGTACATTTATAATTTATACACATTATGGCATTGGTGGATATTGTAGGACCCCGGAAAATACTTATATAGGTAAAGTCCCAAAAATATTTTTTATTAGTAGCTCTAAGCATAGGTTTTTACTATGATCGCTAAGCATTGTTAATATCTAACCTTAAAAATTATATAAAAATAAGCAAATCAATCTTCTAACCTAATTAAATTTTTATTATAACACATATAATTTATAAAATATATTTATTAATTAATATATTTTATTAAATCCAATTTTAAATATGTTGTGAAGCTAAACTAAACATAATATACAAGTAGATTAATAATATTCAATTAATAAAGTTAATAAACAGTAAAAGAAAAATTTGAAATTAATACTATTATAAAAAATGTAAATTTCTCCATAAGTATTATATTTACACCCATAAAAATTAATATGTAGGTAGTTTCGACCTTGCTGAACAATTTTCAATTAATTTAGAAAGTCAATTTCATTTGACCAAAGAGGTGTAATTACGCTCTGAAGTTGTAAACAGAGAAATGAAAAATTCAGAAGTTAGTACCGTTATGAAAAATGCACTTTTCTCCATAAGTATTATACCCACACTCATGAAAATTAATATATAAGTAGTTTCGACCTTGCTGAACAACTTAATTTAGAAAGTCGATTTCATTTGACTGAAGTGGTGTAATTACGTTCTGAAGTTATAAACGAAAAAGTGAAAATTTAAAAGTTATTTCTGTTAAAAAAAATATGCTTTTCTATATAAATATTATACTTAGCCTTATGAAAATTAAAATACAAGTAGATTTAACTTGCTGAACAACAAACTTACTTAAGCATAAATGATAATTTGATATAACCAAAGTGGTGAGTAGTGAAATTATATTTTAAAGTAAAACATATTTATAGTAATTTTATTTAATAAAATAAACATATATAATATAGTAATTTTATATTAAAATAATACATTGAGTTTAATAAAAATTAAAAAGATACTATTGACAGATAATTGAAAAAAAAAAATGAAATTTCATCTTTGTTTATGTATTTATATAAAATTGTGAAATGTAGTACAAAATTAACACTCACCGTTAGTGAAAATAAAATAAAAATTAATTATAAATTCAATATATAATATTTTAAAAAGTTATATAAATATGAAAAATAAGCAACTAAAAACTCTTAGTATTTTAAAATAATACTAAAAATATGCAATTTAATTATCTTATATAGTATAAAATTTTCTTAAAATTAAGCATTTATCGGGAAATTTTTTGGGGAGCAGATCTGTGCAGATTTTCAGAAATTATATCTGCGCAGATCTTATACCCTGGCGCAAAACATTAAAGGAAAAATCCAATAAAAAACTGCGCAGATTTTATAAATAACAAAGTTCTGCGCAGATTTTTAAATAAAAAACCTTTGAAATACCTCAGCAATTTTTTTCAGTAAAAATCTGCGTCACAATAATACAAATTAATTTATTGCATTAATTACTAATTTATTTATATAATCAAAATTACTTTTTTATTATATATTAATAAGTTTACAAATACAATTGAAATCTATTACTAGTCATTGCTATTTATCATCTCTTTACTGCACATTTACATGTTGTTAATGGTTTGGATATTGTTCCAGTTGGTTCGATTCTAACAAACAACAAAATAAAATAGAAAATCGGAGATGTTTGTTAGAAATAAGAAAATTATTTTGAAGTTATTACTTTCAAAATTTTTGACACGAAATCTCAAGAACTAAAAAATAAAGTAAAATGGACGTTAGTAGAACGTTCGTTAAAGAATAATAAAAAAAAATTATAAAGAATTTTGAAGATATACCTTCAAATTCTTTCGTTCAGGAGCTAGAGAAAAAAACAACTGAAACATTAGTAAACGTTTCGCAAATTAAAAAACATGAAAGAATTTCGAAGGAATTTTACCTTCAAAATTCCATCCAGAAGCCATAAACCTGCAAAAAGTAAAAAGAAAACACAAACGAAACGTTAGTAAATGTTTCGTTAAATATTAAAAAAAAATTAATTTCAAAGGTAAATACCTTCGAAATCCTGAAAAAATCTCCAAGTCTGGTTCGTCTAAAGAAGCCCAGCGTCCCTATATAAAGAAGAAAGAACGTTAAAAACGTTTTTTGAAAAAAAAAATAAATTTTAAAGTTTCGCAACAAGAGTTGTGAAACTTATCATTTACCCATTTCGAAAACCTTGGAGTATCGAAACCTACAACAAAAAAGAAAAATGAAACGTTAGCTAACATTTCGTTTAAATAAAAACAAAAAAAATAGAATTTCAAAGGTTACCTTCGAAATTCTGTTCAGGAGCGTTCAGAGAGTCGTGTTCTTACAAAATACAAAAACGAACGTTAGAAAATGCTTCATTAAGTATAATTATTAAAAAAAAATTTTTTCGAAGGTTTTACTTTTGATATGGAAGACCGAACTCATTTTCGGCTTCCTTTATCTAAAAAAAATAAAATACGAACGTTAGTTAACGTTCGTTTAAATAAAAAAGAAAAAAAAATTTCAAAGGTTTTTGATATGGGAGCCCGGAATTCGTTTTTGGATTCCCTTGCCTAAAAAAAAAGTAATACGAATGTTAGTTAACGTTTGTTAATAAATTAAATAAAAAAAAATTTTTTTTACGAAGATTTTACCTTCGTATATGAAAACCTTTGTATGGGAGTTCAAGCTTTATCTAAAAAAAAAGGAAATATGAACGTTAGTTACGTTTGTCAATAAATTAAATAAAAAAAAATTTTTTTTTACGAAGATTTTACCTTCATATAGGAAAACCTTCGTATGGAAGTCCAAGTTTTCAGCTTTCTTTATCTAAAAAAAAGGAAACACGAACGTTAGTTACGTTCGTCAATAAATAAAAAAGAAAAAAAATTTTGAAGGTTTTACCTTTGATATAGGAGTCCAGAACTCATTTTTGGATTCCTTTGCCTAAAAAAAAAGAGATGAAATGTTAGAAACGTTTTGTCAATAAATTAATTAAAAAAAAATTAATTTTTGAAGGTTTGTTTTACCTTCGATATAGAAGTCCAGAACTTGTTTCAGCTTCCTTTACCTGAAAAAAAAGAAACGAAATGTTATAAACTGAACATTTCGTTAATAAATTAATTAAAAGAAATAATTTGAAAGTTTTACCTTTAAACAGAACTTTCAAATAGGTCCGGAATATACCTTCAGCGTTCTGGACCTATAAAATACAAAAACGAACGTAATTAACATTTATTAAAGTTAAATTATAAAAAAAAAATATTTCGAAGATTTTTACCTTCAAAATAAATGTCCAGAGCCATTCTTCGGCTTCCAGGACTTATAAATATAAAAATGAACATTAATTAACGTTCGTTAAATAAAATATAAAAAAACAATTCGAAGGTAAAACCTTTACCTTCGAAATAAGAGTCCAGAGCCATTTTTTGGCGTCAGGACCTATAAAATACAAAAATGAACGTAACTAACGTTTGTTAAAGTTAAATTATAAAAAAAAAATATTTCAAAGATTTTTACCTTTGAAATAAGAGTTCGGAGCCGTTCTTCGGCATCCAGGAACTAAAAACATGAAAAACGAACGTTAGCGACGTTCGTTAAACAAAAATATAAAAAAAATTTGAAGGTAAAACCTTTACCTTCGAAATAAGAGTCCAGAGCTATTCTTTGGCATCCAGGACCTATAAAACATAAAAACGAACGTTAATTAACGTTCGTTAAACAAAAATATAAAAAAAAAATTTAAAGATAAAACCTTTACCTTTGAAATAAGAGTCCAGAGCCATTTTTTGGCGTCAGAACCTATAAAATATAAAAACGAACGTAACTAACGTTCGTTAAAGTTAAATTATAAAAAAAAAATATTTCAAAGATTTTTACCTTTAAAATAAATGTTCGGAGCCGTTCTTCAGTGCCCAGGACCTAAAAATATGAAAAACAAACGTTAATTAACGTTCGTTGAAATAAAATTAAAAAAATATTTCGAAGGTAAACTTTACTTTCGAAATAAACGTCTGGAGCCATTCTTTGGCATCCAGGACCTATAAAACGTAAAAACAAACGTTAATTAACGTTCATTGAAATAAAATTAAAAAATATATTTTGAAGGTTAACTTTACCTTCAAAATAAACGTCCAGAGCTGTTCTTTGGCATCCAGGACCTATAAAATACAAAAACGAACGTAACTAACGTTCGTTAAAGTTAAATTATAAAAAAAAATATTTCGAAGATTTTTACCTTCAAAATAAACGTCTGGAGTCGTTCTTTGGCACCCAGAACCTAAAAACATGAAAAACGAACGTTAATTAACGTTCGTTGGAATAAAATTAAAAAATATTTCAAAGGTAAACTTTACCTTTGAAATAAACGTCCGGAGCCATTCTTTAGAATCCAGGACCTATAAAACGTAAAAACGAACGTTAATTAACGTTCATTAAAATAAAATTAAAAAATATATTCCGAAGGTTAACTTTACCATCGAAATAAACGTCTGGAGCCGTTCTTTGGCATCCAGGACCTATAAAACGTAAAAATGAACGTTAATTAATGTTCGTTAAAATAAAATTAAAAAAATATTTCGAAGGTAAACTTTACCTTCAAAATAAACGTCCGGAGCTGTTCTTCGGCACCCAGGACCTAAAAACATGAAAAACGAACGTTAATTAACGTTTGTTGAAATAAAATTAAAAAAATATTTTGAAGGTAAACTTTACCTTCGAAATAAATGTCCGGAGCCGTTCTTTGGCGCCCAGAACCTAAAAACATGAAAAATGAACGTTAGCGACGTTCATTAAACAAAAATATAAAAAAAATTTCGAAAATAAAGGTTTTACCTTTGAAATAAGAGTTAGGAGCCGTTCTTTGGCATCCAGGACAAGAAAATAATAAAACTGAATGTTGGATAACGTCCGGTAATAAAAAATATTAGTTTTGAAGTTTTACCTTCGAAATAGAGTCCAGAACTGGTACTTTCAGCGCTCTGGACTTACAAAAAAAAAATAAAACGAACTTTAGCTAATGTTTTGTTAAATTTTTTTTTTTTTTAAAATGGAGTTCAGGACGTATCTTTTGTATTCTGGACTAATAAAACGAACATTTTCTAACGTTCGTTAAATAATATTAATATCAAAGTTTGAAATAGAGTACCTTCAGCGTTCTGTAAAATGTATTTTTTGAAGGAAATAAAGGAGTCCAATATCTTTTTAGTCCGAATCTTCTGCATATTGCAGATTATGTGCCAAATATTAGACGAATTTGCCTTAAAGACTCTGAACCTTGCAAATAAATTTTTTTTTTAAAAAAAAAAATTTCTCTGATAAGTTTCAAAGATTAAAAAACTATAATAGAAATATTTTTTCTTTGGAATCTTTAACAGATTATTTCCTAAATGGTGTTGTAAAAAAAATTATTTCACAAAGTTTTTTCTTTAGTAATAAGTGTTGTAGAAAAATTATTTTTTAAAGTCTTGTAAATTTTTTTTTTTTAAAGAGTATTGTAGAAAAAATCATTTAGGTATTAAATCAAGTTAGAGTTAATTAAAGTTTAAATGATGAAATTGCAGATTGAACTGATATTTTAATAAAAAAAAAGCAAATATCTGCAAAATTGCAGACTTCCGCATAAATTTCACATAAAAAAAAGCAGAAATCTGCAAAATCGCAGACTTTCTGCAAAAATGCATACATAAAAAATCAGAAACATGCAAAATTGCAGATTATTGCATAACTTTATAAAAAATAAAAAGTGAAAATCTGCAAAATTGCAGACTTCCGCATAAATTCACAAAAAAAATGCAGAAATCTGCTAATTTTACAGATCTCCGCAGTTCTGCATCTTAAAAAATTTCCCAATGTTATAAAATTCTTACATCATAAAACTTTTCTATGTTGGCTAAGCACCTTGGTACCTTACATATATAAGCATTTTCTGGGGTCCTGATATTATTTGGATATGTTTTATAATAAGAATGATATCTGCCAATGACCTACTAAAAATGGGTATTCTTTTACCAAAATGAATATGTTAGGTACACATCTGTATTCAAGATAAGGTTGCTTGCTGAAACCTTCTTAATAACTGCTGAAACCTATACGGAAAATGCCGAAACTATATTAAATCATATTAAAAATCCTGCCGAAACTTTGCGAAATGCCGAAACCCCCATTTGCCGAAACTGCCGAAACCCTGCCAAAACTATAGTAAACATATAGTAAAATCTTGCCAAAATTTATCGCAGGATTTTGGAGAGGTTTTGGCAAGCAACCTTAATTCAAGACACATTAAATATTTATAATGAAGCAAGAATGGCAGGTACTAATAATGGATGGCATTTGGTTATAGATACAGAAGCTGAAAAAACCACTATACCATTCTTTTTAAGGCAAAGATTACAAAACTCTCACGATGGTTGGTGGTTAGAATATGAAATGGCAGATGGATATGGGAAAGATTTAAGAATTTATCAGGCCTCAAGGCCATAATTAGTCTGTCTTGATGACAGAACTAACTGGTTAAACTGAATACGAACTCAATCAATTTACTCATAGCAAAAGACTACATCAGGAAATTTTATAGCGTAAAAAATTGCGTAAGTTTACGATTTTGTAAGTTTATGAAAGTTTATGGCATAATATTTCAAAAAATTTCAAAATATTATGTAAGTTTACAATTTCATAAGATTTATGTGATATTATGGTTAAAATATTACACAAGTTTCAATATCGTAAGATTTATGCAATATTACGGTCAAAATATTCTGCAAATTTACAAAACTGTAAACCTGCGTAATATTATGGTTGAAATATTTTGAAAATTTACAAAACTGTAAACCTGCGTAATATTACGGTTAAAATATTTTAAAAATTTATGAGACTGTAAACCTGCGTAATATTATGGTTAAAATATTTCAAAAATTTACGAGATTGTAAACCTGTATAATATTACTATTCAATTGTTAAAGCTGCGTATGCAGTAGAATATATACAAGGGCATGTGATACTATTGAATAATCAAAAATAATATAAACACCTTTTCTTTTATATAAACACCTTTTTTTTTAAGTTTGGGAAAGCAAATTTATTTTTATTTACAAATTTTTTATTATTTACAATTTTTATGTTAAAAATTAAAGTAAATTCTAATTTTTATTATAACTTAATAAAAAAATACACATTTGATACTTGTTCGCTACTATTTTATAAAATAGTACCCAAGCTGTATGACGTGGACGTCAGTATCAGTCATAGTCCAAAAAAAATGTGAGTTTCCAGCCGATATTTGATACAGACTGGGCCTAGCTACTCACTTAATAAATAATAAAAAAATAAAATAATTATCTTTTACAATACGTAAGTAAGTTTCTTCTTGTCCTACGATCATCACACGTGACTAAAATTTATCAAATTTATCAAACATATGTGCCGATTTTTGGAATTAGTCTAAATTAAGATTTTTATAAAAATTTAATATTTTAGTAAGATTAACATTACACAAATCTAAATTAAATATGTGTTACATATTTACGTAAATCAGATTTAATAAAAAATAAAAAAAAATTTTTTAATCAATATTCAAAATAACCACTTCTTTTTCCCCATCACTGCCCATCACTTTTCCATCATTTTTCTATTCACTTTTATTAAATATGACAAAAAAGTTTATAAGCAAATATAGCAGTTATTTTTAAGTGGTAAGTAAAAGAAAAAACTTAATATTTTATATACATAGATAAGACATATTTTTTCATAATTTTTAGCTTTAATTTATTGTTTTTTCTTTGTAAAAAATACATGCAAATAAAAAATAATTATGATGTAAAATAGTTGTAAAATGAATAATAAGATATTCTTTTTTTTTCAAAATAACTAATTATATATTTGTTTTTTATCTTTTAAAATTATTTTATTAGATTTATTCTACTAAAATCCTTAAATGGCAAATAAAATCTTTTAAATAAAGTAAAAGAATTTGGGATTCTCTTATGAAAGCATTTTTTGGTAAGAAATAAAATTTTCAGATCGGACTTTATGCAGGTGACAAAATCGTGCATTATTATTCCTGGAGATATGCTAACGTCATCATTTTACATTCATTTGAAAGCTGAGAATTTGCTCTATCGTAAGAATCAAAGATCAGGAAAATTGGATCACTGGATGAGGCGTAATTAACGATCAAAGTCAAATCAAATTTAAAAATTAAAAATAAATATATTAGACGTAATTATTCACAATCCAGTGATTCAATTCATTCGATTTTAGGCTTATTAGATAGACCTCAATTTTCTCTTTCAAATGAATATAATTTCATTCATGTAGCTTGCATCTACAGGTATTTAATAATTTTTTTTATATTAGATTTTATCAAACTTATAAAATTTTATATTAATAATATAATTGATGATTCCTAAACATCTACATATATTAAACGAATTATTTTAAATTTATTTTAAAGATAAAAGTTGGCATCACCTTAGGGAGCAAAGATCATTCAAATTGAACTACATGTGAAGTAATTAATGATCAAATTTAGATAAAATTCAATAAATATACTGAACATGATTACTGAACAACTAGTGATTCAATTCACTTGATTTTAGATTCATTAGATAGATCTCGATTTTCTCTTTCAAATGAATGTAAATTTATTTGTATAGCTTATTTCTACGAAGAATTATCAATAATTTTGTCATGAGAGTTATATTTGATCTTTTAAATTTTAATGATATCTTATATTAAAAAAAAATTAAAACTTATATAATTAATTAGTTTTTTATGCATTATCTACTATAAATTTATTATTCTTATATAAATGATAATTTATATTTGCTTTAATAAAATTATTTTTGTATAAAAAAATTAGATTTCAAGGATCGGCCCATATGATTTAAAACATGAACGTAAATATTAATTATAAATTTTATTATAGTATAATTACCCAGCCTCTCCCAAAATCTCGTTCTAAATTCACAATAATATCTTTGGCCAGTACGCGTCTACAACCACCGCTCAGGGTTACCATTACGATAAAGGACATAGTTCTAAATATCAAAATCAGTTTGAATATTCGATAAATACATTTAATTTATATAAATGTAATTTTATTTATTTACTTACATAGTAATCCCTGACGAGGTTCCTCCACTTTTGGCTGCACTGTTACCCAGAAACCTTCGTTTAAAATATTCTATCTATTCTAATTCAATTAAATGAATTGGTTAATTTAAATTTAAATTCTTTCTTAAAGAAATTATAGATATTAGTCATATGAACCTATTGGCAACAAAGTCCCAAAAACTATGGCGGCTTCTACCATTAATATCATGATAGGCACGGTTTCTATCTTGGCGTATATCAACAAGTTCATCCATCATAGCTCAGTTCTAATGGACGTTATAGTGGGAACGACGTGAATGTGTGTGGCAAGGTATTATTAGATTAAATTTGATTTTTATAATTTGATTTTGGGATGAGTAAAAATTTAAAAGAAAGTCGTAAAATGCCACTTTAAATAAAATTTGAACAATACCTCTTTGGTTTGATTTTATTTCTCGTTTCAATTAAAATTTAATTTAATAGACTTTTCATCATTTAACATATTAATTAAATCTCATGTGGATATGGATTATCTAAATATAAATATCATGATTATCGCAGTTTTTGAATTAGTGTGATCAGGTGATTTGTTGATCAATTAAAATTATCTCACCGAAAACACTGAAAATCACCAAAAACAAAATTTTTTGAGCGATTATTGGCCAAATTATCTGTGTTTCACTAGTTCTGATCATTTCCCTAATTTAGTATTGATAATTTTAATAGATTTTAATAATGAACACTACGCGAAAAAAGAAGTTGAAATAAATTTCGCGTTTATTATAAAAATTATTCAAATGACAGAACTTAATTGCAAATACCTTCTAGGCATATGTTATTCATGTCAAAAATGCTTATATTGTTTTAAGCTTTCACAGCAAGAGCCATGTAAATGTGATAAAAATAAACAACCAAAAAGAACTAAATATCCAAAACGCAGACAACAAATATATCAACGAACTTATAAACCAGATTCATTATTTCCAAAAGCAAATAAATATCTGTTTGATGCCAATGACAAGTTTGGTTATAACAGTAACTTTGAAGAACCATTTTCTTATACCTTTTGTAGTACTTGTAATAGCCAAATTCAATGGTATAGAAATGCTGACAAAAAAGTCCAACAAATTCAAATAAAACAAAATGATAATAAAGTTACTCCAAGTGATTTATCAAATGAAAAAGAAGTTGAGAACATTGATAAAAAAGAAAATCATCAAATATTCTCTTTGGTAAGTAGTGATACTGAAGAGGAAGATGATGTTGATGATATCGAAGTTGATAATGATGAAGATAGTGATCTTGAAGAATTGAAAGTGCAGATAATTGTTAAAAGTAAAAATATAAAAGCATCTATAGCAAAAACTCTGAATATTGAACCTGCCAGCTATGAAAATATTATGGAAAAAATAAATTCAGTAGTTCAAAAGACTTTGAGGAAAAAAGTCATATCAAAAGATTATATTGTATCATATAAAGCAGTAAATGCACGTGAACCTTCAAATGAACTTGAAGATGAGTCAGATTTTCAAGAATTTATTGGTGAATACAAAAGAGTAGTTATAGCTAGCAAAAAATGTCAATGATAGTAATGGTAAGAGATAAGTTGACAAAGAAAAAAAAATTACACAAGGTAAAGTTTTTTTATGCAATATATTGTGTAATATACAAACAAATTTTTAATGTTTATAATTATTTTAGAGTTCTGATGAAAGTGGATTTTCTTCTGCTGAAGAATTACAGGGTAGAAAGAAGAAAAAATCACGTGCCATTCGTGAAGATGACTTAACAAAAGAAGAAAAAACAAGATCTGAAGTAATTTCTACTTTATGTGAGATGTATAAATGTAATATACATACAACGCCATGTTTTATTCAGGATGATCGGCATTTGCAGCTCCTGTCTCTTATACACATCTAGATGTGTATAAGAGACAGGTATAAATGTAATATACATACAACGCCATGTTTTATTCAGGATGATCGGCATTTGCAGCTCAATCCTGCTAGATTACAACTTTGGGCACAAGAAATAGTAAGTTTTTCAACATAAATATCATTTATTTATATAAATTCAAATAAAAATTTATAATTTTTATTTAGATAAATAAAGGAGCTACCTACGAAGTACTTCTATCTTATCCAATATTTGATGCAAAATCAAGTGTATCTGTCAACAAGAATAATTTGACAACTCAAACACAAGTAAGTCAAACAGTACCTGCTACTCCTACTCCTATTATTATCCAATTACCATCCCAACTTTATCCCAATTCTACTCAAAAACAGTCAACATCATGTAATTCTAATAATACAAATAGTAATATTCATTTAGCATCACCAAATACATTACCTTCAATTGGTGATTTTCTCAATAGCTTAGATCAAAAACATAATTGTAATGTATACTCTAACTTTGAGAATGCTTTTCTTGAAGAGGAAATCACTGTAAATGTTATCAGAGATTTATCAGATGATCAATTAAGAAAATTAGGAGTAGTAAAAATTGTGTGGCAGAAAAATATCAAACAAGCAGCTCAACGATTTGAAATATATTAGAATATTGATATTTTTCTATAAATTGAAGTTGTACATTTTATTTTTCTAATAAATTGACTTTCTAAATAATATTTTTCTAAAAACTAATTTTTCTAAACATAAATTGATGCTTCAAAATATGATTTTGCCATTTGGGGTGTTATTTGACTACATGCAACTAATAATGCATATACGGGATCATCACAAGTTTTCATAAAATCATAATTATTTCTAATCTATGATTTGATAGTTGAAAATGCAGTCTCAATGGGTTAAAGTCAGAAGAATAAGGTGGAAAAAAAACAATATGACATTCTAATCCCTTCAATAAAGCCACTAAGTCATTATTATGATGGATTTTTGCATTATCCATTACAATAACACTGTTATCTCCTAGATATGGATTCATTATTGGGACCTAAAATAGCAATAAATTTGTCAATTACAATATAAAAAATAAAATCATTGTAATTGGTGTAATTATTACTTACTACTTGATCAAGAACAAAATCAACAAATTTTTTTTTATCACAAGATCCTTCAAATATATCAATAGCAACAAATCCTTCCATTGTAAGTGCAAGTAGAATGGTATATCGTTTTTCTCATACAAAAACTACTTTTTTTTGAGCACGTGTATTTCTGGGCGAATATCCATATAATCGAAATAAACTTCTTTCATCTTTAGCGCTTTCATCAATGAAAATAAGTTGATTTTGAGTGTAATGTTCACCAATTGTAGCTAGTGCTTCTAACAGATCGGTTCAGACCGGATTTAGCTTAAATCTGATCCGATTTGATTTTTATTTTAATAGATCTGATCTGATCTGAATCTGATCAGATCTGGTTCAATTTGATCCAAATCTGGTTCGGATCCATTTGAATCCGATTTGAATCTGATCCAAATCTGGTTCAGATCTGGTCCTTGTACTAAAAAAAGGAAAGGGAACGTTAATTACGTTCCTTAAAGTAAAAAAAAATAAAAATAAAAATAAAAAAACGAACTTACCATAGTTTGTTCTTTTAAATCCTGGTCGTTCAGCTTCGTCTCGCGTCCAGGTTTCCTAAAAATAAAAGAAAGGGAACGTTAATTACGTTCCCTTAAGTAAAAATAAAAAAAAAACCTAAAAAAAAGAAACGAACTTACCATAGTTCGTTCTTTTTTT